TTACCACCTTCCTGTTGGAAGTTTCAATGAAGTTGACTGAAATAAATCAAGCAGTGACATCTGTAGACATAATTTGTGCCTTACTGTTCACAGTCCCAGCCGTCTTCGTGAGTTATTTACAACTATTACCACCTTCCTGTTGGAAGTTTCAATGAAGTTGACTGAAATAAATCAAGCAGTGACATCTGTAGACATAATTTGTGCCTTACTGTTCACAGTCCCAGCCGTCTTCGTGAGTTATTTACAACTATTACCACCTCCCTGTTGGAAGTTTCAATGAAGTTGATTGATATAAATCAAGCAGTGACATCTGTAGACATAATTTGTGCTTTACTGTTCACAGTCCCAGCCGTCTTCGTGAGTTATTTACAACTATTACCACCTCCCTGTTGGAAGTTTCAGTTCAGAGTGATAAGGGTCTACATCATTATGTGCTGTACTACCCCTATTCTGTTGTTGTTTACTCATTATGTGCTGTACTACCCCTATTCTGTTGTTGTTTACTCATTATGTGCTGTACTACCCCTATTCTGTTGTTGTTTACTCATTATGTGCTGTACTACCCCTATTCTGTTGTTGTTTACTCGGAAGTTTATGGACACCTTCAGAACAAGTTACGTTTCTCATACACCTTTAACCCGTGAATATCGATTATTTTTTTGTTTTGTTGTCGTTTTAACAGGCCAATCATCTCCACGTCGTTAACTATTCACCAATCGTTTATAATGACAATACAGTGTCTTCCCTGATTGGTCTAAAGTTCCGTTTGAGCCATAACCACTTGGTGGCAGAAGGCTTAAGAATAAAATGCACCGCTAGCAGATCTACTGTTCTGGACATTAGAAGTCAGGAGATAGTAGTCGGAGGAGTTCAACATAGTTCCGGTCTCCACGTGCTTGCCAGTGACGGAAAAGGTGACGTGTTACGTTTTATATCACGAAATTTGTTGAGTAACTTTATAAAATAATTAGATATATATTTCTAAGTAATCCCTCGTTCATAAATTTCTGGAATATGTTAAATTGTTAGTTTTCTGGTTATACGGAAATTTCAACAAGAAAATGTTGTTATCGTTTTTTTTTCTAGAAAACTTTACAGATGTTTGTTTTATTTACCCAGCATCTTACCAAGTCGAAATATCGTTTGTGTTGAAATTCTTAGTTGGAAATGAAACTGGTAAACACCTTTTAGTGAAAAAAAAAAAAGAAATTCTTAGTTGGAAATGAAACTGGTAAACACCTTTTAGTGAAAGAAAAAAAAAAGATATGGTTGCCCTCTATTGACAGAAATTTTATATCAGTTATTTGATATGATAGCTTTAATAGAAAACAGCGGTAAGTCTACGGATTTACAACGCTACAATCAGGGGTTCGATTCCCCTCGGTGGATACAGCCGATAGCTCGATGTAGCTTTGCTATACGACAAAACACACCTTTAACAGAAATAACAGATAATAATTTAATTACCTAAAATCTAATTGGATGTTGGAAAATTCAACCAATTTTAGTCATTCACGAATAAAAAACTTAACAATCTGTGATACTCATTAATCAAAAGACTGCCAAATTAGAAAAAAAAAAGACAAAAAAAACAAAACAATAACAATACAATTAAGTTATATCGTAAAACTGTCCATAAAACTTGCAGTTATTCCATGTTTACTATAGAGAATATAAACCTATAAAAGACTATATTTATACCAAGAGAATTAAATAAATTCATATGTATAACGTGTTAAACGCATTCATGAAGACTGGGTTTTTAAAATAAAGCTGTATTAATGAATAAAACATACCTTTGTTTGTTTGTAATTACGCACAAAGCTACACAATGGGCTATCTGTGCTCTGCCCACCACGGGTATAGAAGCTCGGATTCTAGAGTTGTAAGTCCGCAGACATACCACTGTGCCATTGGGGGGCTGTATTCATGAATAAAACATACCTTTGTTTGTTTGTAATTACGCACAAAGCTATACAATGGGCTATCTGTACTCTGCCCACCACGGGTATAGAAGCTCGGTTTCTAGAGTTGTAAGTCCGCAGACTTATTGCTGTGCCACTGAGTGGCCCTTTGTTCTAAACTAAAAGAGTCTACTTTTTAGATCTTAAGAATTGTAAGATTTAATCAAACTTTTGTATTCTTGAAACGACACCTGTTTCTGTATGAAATTTCGATATCACTAGCAGAGTTGGAGGCGGCCCTGGCTCTTTACTTAATTAAACTCAGCATTTTAGAGCTGGCGCATATGATTCGAATTCGTGCGATACCACAAAATACTTCTCGAAATTTGGTGCGTTATAAGAGTGAAAATTAATCACTTAGCTCGGAATGTGGGAGGTAAGATGCTGTTGATTGGCTGCCTTCACTTCAATGAATAGCTCAAAATCAGAGATGGTGGCAAGTAACCTTAATATTTTTGCCATGAAATACAAAATAAAAATACTACCAGAGTTTGTCTCCGATAAAGAAAATGGAAGAAAAGGCTAAAGTGGAAAGCAATTTACAAATTCTTGTATATCTGTGAAAGCAGGAAGAAGATACTTAACACCAGATGTCAGTGTTCAAACTGACTGTCTTTCACAATTTGATATTATTGGCCCAGCTTGTAAATATAAAAAAAGAGACAACACTTGTCAAATCCGTAAAGGACTGAAAAGAAACTTAGATTTAAATCGACCGTTTGCTGATTCTAAGGACACAAAAATTTAATATCTTCAGTTCTTTATATTCAGTTTCCACAAGCCTAACTCGTGAAATTTTAAATAGATACAATAATATAAAATATTAAAAATAATGATTAAAAGTGTTTGAAAATCGGTTGACACTAAAAATAGATATATATATATATAAAAATTAATTGTTTGTTTGTAATTAAGCACCAAGCTACACAATGGGCTACCTGTGCTATGCCCACCACAAGTAAAGAAACCCGGATTCTAGCGTTTTAAGTCCGCTGACATACCGCCGTGCCACTGGAGAGCAAACATTTTTTTAAACTGTCTGACTTGGACTAAATCCTAACAACTTAAGTGTTGAACGGATTAACACATACATTATGTAAAACGTTACTGCTCTGTTTAATTTAGCACAGAACAAATTTAAATGTCTAGCGTGCCGGATTTGGACCTGTGGTTCCGTGGCTCATATCCTGTTACCTTAAAACAAAAAAGAAAAATCGCAATCTGTACTTTGAACTATGTTGGAAGAGTGACGGTAACGTCCAATTTTTAGAGGTAACAAGCGTAGCTCAATAGTTGATGGTCGGTTTTGTTGACTAACTGCCTTTCCTCTAGTCTATTATTTCAAAATTAGAGACGACTAATGCAGATAGCCCTTGAGTAGTTTTGTGTGAAATTCGACAAACAAACAATTCTGGCTATCAGAATAAACTTTTTTTTTTTTATTGTAAGCTGTGGATTAGTTAAACGTATTCATTTAAAATAGAATAAAAAAACTGAAATTTATTATATTATTATTATTATTAAGTGATGCCAAACACCAAAACTGATTAAATAATCTATCTTTTACGCTAATTCTCGAACAATTTAAAAACATATCTAATTACAGTCACTGAATAGAATGCCGCTATCGATTTTTTAGCCACCAGATTGCGCTAGAAAATACAATTTGAGTAATTTAGTCTCGAATCTGTTAATCCTATATATATATAGACTTTTTAAATCCTATCTAGAAACTGAAGATAGTAGGTATTTCGTTCTTCATAGTAGTTGAGGTGGTATCTTGTTGCTATATCCAGCAAAAACAACGAAACACGAACTTAGAACCCTCGGATTCACAACATCTAGGTTACACCCGGTATATCTTTATATTTAATAAAACTACATACTATTTAAAAGATACGGTTTTTACCATCCAACAGGACTCTAACAAGTCGCTAAATGAAATAAATAACTTTTGTTAAATCAAGCTCGACAAACAAAGAGGCAGAAAAGTGCAGTCGAGACAGTCAAACGTCAGTAAATTGTTTTGTGAGCCAATCAAAATTAAGATCATTCATGAAATGAATTTGTGGCGTATTCATAAAATAATTATTGGTAAAAATCAGTTAGATTAACAACTTCTAACATATAGAAAAACCAGTGCGTTTTTTGTAACACTATGTTCCAACAATGGCTTTTATGTCATGTTGCTTAGCAACAAAAATATAACCTAACATTGTTGTTAGTCTGAGTACTGAAAGTATAAAATAAAATGTATAGACAACAAAACTGGAAAAATATTTGTTGATTTCTTAATTTAGATTCAAGAGTTTTTTTTTTTAAACGTTGGTGATATAACAGAAAATAGCTTAATTCAGAAACGATTTAAGTTTAAAATTGAATTGATATTTTTATTTTCACGATAAATTCTATGAAATTGGCTCTAAGTTAGGTGATCCCACACTACGTCTTTATTTTAGGCTTATTATACCAACATTCATTACACTTACAGGGTTTCACGGCCCCCTTGCACTCCTTCACTAAAATCGTAATGGGCAGACAATGATCGAACTGTTCTATCTGGATAAATGCATTTTGGCTTTTATGACTCCTCCTATTTCTAGAAATCAAGAGCAATGTGACGTGACACACATAGACTTCCTTAGAGGTTAAATAGAACTTGTTACATAATTGTATCATATAAAATAAGCATAATGATATTGAAGTGTCAGATTTACACTTTTTTGTAATATCATACACACAAAACATGTAATTCTAAGAACCCATCAGCGAAAACATAGGAGAATATGTTATAATAAGTCAACCACAAATAAATATATTATTCACACTTCCTGCATACATATTTGTTAATTCCCCAGCATATTTTGCTATGAAAAATAGAGGATCAATGTTCGGTTTAGACCCACTAGATGGTGCCACGCGCCAACCATTTAAGCATGGTAAGTTTTTAAGATCTCTTCTTGAAAAACGTTGTTGCAGCTAAACATTCAAAAGCTTAATTAAGATTATTTTTACATATAAATCAATAAATTACATTAAACAGTCTATCGAGGGATCACATTCTTGTATCTTTAAATTGCCGTACCTTCTATTAAAATGGGGATCTATTTCAGGAGCCCAGTACGTTTTTGAGTTTTATTATTAGAAGCTATGGCTACAAACTCCAAGAATAAAGAGGCTATTAGAGCCTAATGTTTAGGTTTATATCTTTCTCGAAGTGGCCCGGCATCGATAGGTGGTTATGGCGCTCGACTCGCAATCTGAGGGGCGCGGGTTCGAATCTTTGTCCCACCAAACATGCTCGCCCTTTCAGCCGTGGGGGCGTTAAAATGTGACGGTCAATCTCACTATTCGTTGGTAAAAGAGTAGCTCAAGAGTTGGTGTGGGTGGTGATGACTAGCTGCCTTCCCTCTAGTCTTTAACTGCTAAATTAGGGACGGCTAGCTCAGATAGCCCTCGTGTAGCATTGCGCGAAATTCAAAAACCAACAAACTTCTCGAAGAATCAAACATTCGCACGATACGATACAGAAAAATAAATATATTTGATAGACACCAATTATCTTTCTATAAGTGATCTCGTTAACTCATATTGAATTTTATACTTGTTTAAATACATTTCTTATTAGACTGTTCATTTGGCATGTACTACGTTTCTTGTTTCTGTGGTAAGCCATCACTTTATGCATCAATGCTCCCCCAATATAATATTCGTACGAATTACCCTATATAACTATATGCATGTATTTATACTTCGAAACAAATTTGTCTGTTCAAGATTTATTGATCAATACTTTGTTTTTTTCCAGTTGTACTCACGTGCTCCTTACACTTACTTTCAACATAAGATATGTATTGTTGCATATGATTTTTTTCTGCAGTCACTGTTTCCTCGTGCAAAACGGCGTCTAAACGTTTAATTCTTGAGGAGATAGGCGAAATGTTCGGCCCTAACAATTGTTTTTTTCCTTGAATTTTGGGTTGTATTCTTTAATAATAATAATGATTAATCTCCAGTTTTTACACCAACAACTCAATTTAGAAAAATGTTGGTTCCATGTGATATTCTGTAATCTGTTTTTTTAAAGATTCTTGCAATAAAAGTCCAAATCAGACAAACATACTAATCAGAACAGGTTCGAATTGTTGAAATATTTATTTTATTTCACTCTCATTGACCTGGACATTGAAATTATTATTTAACTAATAACATTGTATATTCGTTTGCTGATAACTACTGAACACATGATACAAAAGGTTGAGTATGTTATATTAATGCTATTTTGAATATACAAATCAGCGAGTCACGTGAAAAAAAACAAAAAAAACAAAAAACTCGGCCGATATAAACTTGCGGTGGAATGGAAGGTATCATTATTACAAGATATTCATACACTCAGATTGTCAAAATGTATTCAGATCAGGGATTTAGAATTTCCAAAACTGAAATATCTCTTGTACTTAATAGCAATGGGAAGAAAAAAAAAATATGGATGAACTTAGGGCACTAGGAACCATTCTGAAAGAGACCTACAACAAGTCGTGCCCTAGCCATGCTGAGCAAAGTACAGTTCCTGTAAAAGCGATACAAGTCACTTGTCACAAGTTGCTTCCTTTCAAACATTGCACACCTTGAGCAGCTGGAGAATGCAACAAGTGTTCGTTCTGTTTCATACTAAGACATACCTATCAAGTCGCCAGATGCAGTGCCTGTAGACTTCTGCGCGTTCGAACAATTGAAATGGGCGTTAGAAAACTTTCGTCCTCTTTCACTAGATGGCTTACAGAAACCGAAAGAAATAGGGGGGGAGTAGACGTGCGCTTTGGACACGATAGCCTTTAGCAATGGAAACTAAGCTACAGGATTATTGTCAAGAAGAACGATCGTTAGATAGAGCATGACCGTAGGTGGTGAGACTCCAAAATCGTTTTGATTTATTGTACTCAACCTCTTTATTATTGATAAGAGACACGGCATGGCCAGGTGGTTAGGGTGTTCGACTCGCAATCTGTGGGTTGCGGGTTCGAATCCCCGCCACACCAAATATGCTCGCCCGTTGGAAAAAAAGAGTAGCCCAAGAGTTGGCGGTGGGTGGTGATGACTAGGTGCCTTAGCTCTGATCTTACACTGCTAAATTAGGGACGGCTAGCGCAGATAGCCCTCGTGTAGCTTTGCACGAAATCCATAACAAACAAACATGTTTGGTAAGTTTTACACAACGTTACGCTATAGAAGTGTTCAATAATAGCCTGGTTAAATAGCCTTGTAAAATGAAGTATTAAAGCCTCGAACTTTTTTGTTTAAAAATCGCAACAAGAAATTTAACCAAACTACTTTTTTTTTTCCTTGATGAAACAATTTCCTATTAACCTTGCAAAATATTTCAATTTCCAGAAATGAAGGCAGGAAGACTGGAGAATACAATGTTCTGGATCTGGCTATTGTGTATAGCCTTTGTCCGATAACCGTGTGCAGTCCGAATTTAGCCAGTGATTATGTACATAACAGAAGATAAAACGTCGCCATCTTGCTGACACAGTAAATGAAGAAGTTCGTGGACAAGTAATTTAGATTTCGTCCCTTTTCTTTTCTTCACATAATTCTGGGATTAAATTCAAACTCACCAAAACTTTCCATTAGAATGAATAGTGACGATAATTTTATATTTTTTATATTTGGTTGCTAAGCTGTTTGGTTACCAAGAACATTAGCTGTGATATGGGCTAAAGAACGCCAGCAAGTGACAACATTGACCATTACAAGTTTCAATTAGAAGTGCTTGATCTTTTTTTATTATTATTATTTATTATCAAGTATGAACAGAAATATTGTTGTGTTTATTATCTAGTCATAAATTGGAATAGAATGTCAGTCAGCCGGACCCGAAAATGTTTCGTATGTGAAGATGATTTTTTTCCAGCTTCTTTTAACATCATCAATATAAGAAGACGTGTTTTGCTGAAACCGTAATTAATGTCCAATAATATTGTGTTAACGAAAACGTCTACTTTTCATTTGTTTTCCGGAATAACGTAGTCGAAATAAATCGTCGTTGTCACGTGTAAATTTCGCTTTAAAGTGACGTTAAGGTTGCTGGTGTCAGAAGTAAGAATTAATGTGATAACTAATTAAAACGCCATCTGGTGAAAAGGAGCGCTTAGACTTGATGTTTTTGAGAATGTTAAACGTATCCGAGTTATCTGTTCTTTGACGTCATATTACGTCATTAAATGGAAATACATGAAGTATATGTTGTTTTTGATTTGTTTTGATCTTGAGTTAACTCAGTTCAATTCGCTTTTTATTATGAAGATGATCCATTACGTGTGTATGTGTATGTGTGTGTGTTGGCTTTCATCGACCAGAGTTAATTGTCTCGTTTACCCTAATTTTCGGTATGGTAACTGAAAACTGTCTGACGTTGTACATGATTATTTTGTTTTAGGATTTTTCCGACAAAAAAAAAAGGGGGGAGGTGGATTAAAATAGGGCACATTTCCACTTTTTATAGACTTTGTATTTAAAGACACAAGTACTTAGTCAATTAAGTGAGTCAATTATTATCTTCCACAAAGCAAGGTATTCAATTAGCATCTAATGAGGTCACGAGGGATTTAATAACAAAAGGAAGGGAAACATTATTTAACACTGTCATTTACATAGTTTTTGTTTTCTTGACGAGTAGCCTCAGTTAGTTTTTACTAAAAAAAAAGAAGAAGATATACCTAAGACGAAAACCCGGAAAATTACCTAGTAATCTATACATTGGAGATATTTGTCCGCGTATATGAATAATATTTGGGAGGGGGTTCTACTATATGACTTATATGCCTTTGTCTTTGTTGGGAGGGGGGTTGCATTATATTACTTATATGACTTTTTTATTTGTTGTAGGGGTTTTGCACAACATGACGTCTATGCCGTTGTCTTTATTGTTGGGGGATTGCATTCTATGATTTATATGCCGTTGTCTTTGTTGTTGGGGGATTGCATTCTATGATTTATTTGCCGTTGTCTTTGTTGTTGGGGGATTGCATTCTATGATTTATATGCCGTTGTCTTTATTGTTGGGGGATTGCATTCTATGATTTATATGCCGTTGTCTTTATTATTGGGGGATTGCATTCTATGATTTATATGCCGTTGTCTTTGTTGTTAAAATATCTAAAATGCTGCATTTGGGGTAAATTTGCAAATACAAATTCTTCGTCATCGACCAAATCATGCTATACCTGACAAAATAAAGCAAATAAGCATACCTATACTCATCCAATACAAATAAAAGACAACTCGTGTAATAATGTGACAACCGTGATTTGTGTCCACGATCATACATCTGATTTACTGGTTTTGAAAGACGCGAGAGTTCTACTTTTTAAAATAAAAACATGGATTTGTGATACGTAAACATTAGAATGTATTGAAACTTGAAGTTAAATAGTTTTTTTTTTTTTAAATCTGGATCTCCAAAAGAGCATTAGAACAAGTATATTAAAGATAACGGGAAATGGGTTGCATGGTTAGTGCTGTATATAGCGAATAAACATGTTATTCCTGTTATATACATTTTACGGGTGGCTCAGCGATAAAGTTGAGGGCTTATAATGCTGCAATTCGGGGTTCAATTTCTGTTATGGACACAGCACGGATAGTTTTTCGCTTAAACAAACAGATAGAAAATAACAAAATCAACAGCTAACACTAACTGATAGGACGTTTTAATAGAATGCTGTTATTGCGCTTAAACTTACAGCGCTAGAAACCGGGTTTCGATACCCGTGGTGGGCAGAGCACAGATAGCCCATTGTGTAGCTTTGTGCTTAACTTTAAACCAACAAATATACACAAAATCAAAAGATATCACTGAATAGTACGACATTAAAATAGAACAAAGCTAAACAGAAGAATGAAATAAAACTTATTACAATATGTTCAAAACGTCAATAAATTAAATTTATACATTTGAGTTCAAACTATTTTCAATGATGTGGCGGTAAGGGGTAATTGATATATTTATTTTTGTTTTAAATTTGTTTAAAATCCTTTATGGAGAGCTGAAGTACCAGATAAATCAAACTCATTTCTTAAAGAAAAAAAATATTTGGTGTCTGCGGAAATTGTTTTACTTCTCTGACACATTAAGGAACAAACAGCCTATAATAGGCTTTTTTTGAGAAAACTGCTGTTTGAATGTCAGGATATGATTACTATCAGTTTTCAATTATCGGTATTGTGGTTTTATTGTTTTTCTGTCGTCTCCCGGCGGAACAGCGCTAAGTTTACGGACTTACAGCGCTAAAATCCGGGTTTCGATTCCCCGCGGTAGACACAGCAGATAGTCCAGTGTGGTCTTGCTCTAAAATAAATAGGGAACAGGCCAAATAGGTTTCTCTGTCACGTGGCACGCGCGTGATGACGATAATGTGGAGTTTTACCACCTTTGTTTTACACGTGAATTATAACGAGTATTTGTTTTCAACGCGTAGACTGGATAAATGAAAGGTCACGTGATAATACCGTTTCTTTCCTTTGCTCTACATCGAGATAAAACATTTCTTTCGAGTCTTTGAAATGTGTATTTTAGACGGCTCTTCAGGTTTACGTAGGTTCGCTGTTGCTTTTAACATTGTACCAAGTTTATCCTTTATTGTAAAACAAAAAAAAAAATGATGATTGTTTCTATGGTTTCCAATGTAATAATAAATCAAGTTGTACAGAACTTTGGTTTTATTTGAAGATGTAGTGGAACAGAATACGTTGTGTTAGTTCCCTAGCTAGATTTAAATATTTTAAAGAGTTTACGGTACTGGATGACTGGGGACTCGTGTAATAAAGTTTTAGTACTTTCTCCGATCATCACGTGATTAATAGCCACCACGAATGAGCACTGCTTATTCCAGTAATTTTATGGGTGTCGTACTTACCAATACGACCCATCACAGCTACTTGATCTTCGCCTTATACATATGTGACTTAGTGGTTGTAGCGTTTCGGGTTGTAGATCCGAGGTTTCATGGTATGTCTGCGGACTTAAAATGCTAGAAACCGGGTTTTGATACCCGTGGTGGGCAGAGCACAGATAGCCCAATGTGTAGTTTTGTGCTTAACTATAAACAAAACAATTATATCACCTTACTTCACACACACAACATCCCGGTCTGTATTTTGGGTTCATAAGTGTGACAGTCAAATCCAACTCTTGGATTAGAGTAGGCCAAGAGTTAACAGTGGGTGCTGTTTACAAGCTGTCTTCACTCTAGTCTACCGGTTCAGAATTAGGGATGGACAGCCCTTCAGTAATTTTGTGTGAATATTTTGAAACAAACAAAATAGTTTGTGTTTTAAAAGATCGCTGTCAAGTTTCAAGGCAAAGATTCTATGTATAGCACAGGGTAAAACCTTTTCTTATACATCAACCTGTTTCCAGACTCTTCGAAAGGCCTACTCTAAGAGTATTTTAAAGGTCAGCCGACTTACACCAAAGAGTATAAGCACACCAAACAAAGACAAGTTTATAACGTCACTGAATCAACTCTTTACAAAACATCACCAAAGAGTACTAGCACGCCAAACAAAGACAAGATTATAACGTCACTGAATCAACTCTTTACAAAACATCACCAAAGAGTATAAGCACACCAAACAAAGACAAGCTTATAACGTCACTGAATCAACTCTTTACAAAACATCACCAAAGAGTATAAGCACACCAAACAAAGACAAGCTTATAACGTCACTGAATCAACTCTTTACAAAACATCACCAAAGAGTATAAGCACACCAAACAAAGACAAGATTATAACGTCACTGAATCAACTCTTTACAAGGTGCATGTCTATTGTTATCAAAAGAAATGAGTTTTTAACATCTCAATAGTACAGTAAAGAATAGAATATTTGTGTTAATATTTAAATCAGCATATTATTATATTTATAACTAGCTGGAGTAAACCGCCCCCTGGACGGAAGTTATGTAAATTCGTGATTAATGAAAGGTTATCTTAGGACATGAAAAGTTGCTTCCCTTATATGTAATTGTAGAAAACGCAAGAACGCCCATAAAAAAACTGCAAAACACAAAATGTGAAATCACAAATCTGCAAGTATTTCCTCATGGACTCAATAAACCTCCATACCAAATTTGGTGAAGGTCCATCTACAGGGGGGCCAAGTAGTGGTAAAAAACGCCCATAAAAACGCAAAACTGAAAATTTGTACCCCTGCATGGACTTAATTAACCTCCATACCAATTTGGGTGAAGGTCCATCTACAGGGGGGCCAAGTAGTGGTAAAAAACTCCCATAAAAACGCAAAACTGAAAATTTGTACCCCTGCATGAACTTAATTAACCTCCATACCAATTTGGGTGAAGCTTCATTCACACCCTGCGAAGTAGTTACTTGGTCATACAACAGACAGTACTATTATATTTATATACATATATTTCTATGTGTATGTTTGTATAGATATAAAGAAACAAATAAGTGCTCACTTCTTCGGAGAGTAATGTAAAACAAAGTACTAAAAACCTGAAAACTTCAAATAATCTTTATTCCAGTTTATAATTTCCAAGTGCTCTTCAGAGTAAAATAATAAAAACAACAACCCTGAACAAAGAAAAAGGCAACAAAGTTGACTCCTTTATAAAGAAAAATGTTTCATTGCTTAGGCTTAATTCTTTGTTTGTGCTTTATAGTTTTCTTTAAATATCATCTATAGTTGCGAAAGGTAAGGGAAAAAAATACGTTTTTATATTTTGTTTTATTTTACACACATACACACACATATATATATATATGGTTATTCAATGCGGCCACATATATATATACGAGCATAACTTTGCTGATAGTTTCATGAAATACTAAATAAAATACTGGAAAATAACAAAAACCGAAGATACAAAAATTTTGTCAGTATTGGATAGTTTGTTCTTTTTTATTGGACAGCCAGTAAGTTTGTTCGATATAAATGACAGAATCGACAAATCCGAGCAGACGAGACCTCCAAAGCTGTCCTCCTCGTTGGTCAACAGTTTTTATTGTTACACACGTGTTCAACGCTTCCAATTCAAGTGCAGGAACGTATACCAAAAATGCGAAACGTTATAACAACGTAGAAAACACAAATGCATATTGAAATTGTAACAATATTAGAATCAAATACATTCCGAAACTCAAATAATATTGGAATCAAATACATTCGAAACTCAAATAATATTGGAGTCAAATACACCCAGAAACTCAAATAATATTGGAGTCAAATATACTCCGAAACTCAAATAATATTGGAGTCAAATACACTCCGAAACTCAAATAACATTGGAATCAAATACACTCCGAAAC